CATTACCTCTGATAGGTCATCAGGACCGCAGCCAAGACTGAAAATGGGGGCTTAGCAGTGCCAACAGCCAGTGCACACTTGCTCTGTCAGAAACTCAGGGCCAAGGATACCTAGCTAATGGCCTGCTGAGAGCCATGTCTTTTTGTTTTTGTTTTTAAAGAAAGGATCTCACTCTGTCACCCAGGCTAGAGTGCAGTGGCAGGTTCATAGTTCACTGCAGCCTCGAACTTCTGAGCTCAAGCAATCTTCCCACATTAGCCTCCCAAAATGTGGGATTATAGGCATGAGCCACCGCTCCCAACTAGAGCCATGTTCTTAATCGGTGTTTCTGTGGCAGAACAGAAATGGGGCCAGAATGGGTGTCACTAATGAATGGCCATTTCAGGAATGAATGTCAGCCTGAAGGTGGCATTGTCTGCACATTGCAACTAGGCCTTTCCCACACCTTGTTCTGTTCATTAGGAACACTCTTGTTCCATCCTTTTTACATATATTCCATTTATTCTCTTTGTCATGTCTGACACTATGCTATCTATACTCAATACATCTTAATCCTGCCTATTTTACAGGCTACTTGTTTGCCCATTATATTTAACACATGAGTTTCATATATTCCTTTTCTATCTATCCCTTTGGACGGAATTTAATATCCTCATAATACAGCAAGCATACATTACAAAAATACACTAAATATTTTTGCTTAAAATATTTTTAAAAATTGTCCAGTAGAAGATAAATGGTATTGTATGTCATGGAAGACTGGTTAAGAATGGGAATATACACTGCCACGTGTGTACCTATGCAACAATCTTGCATGTTCTTCACATGTACCCCAAAACCTAAAATGCAATAAAATAAATGGAAAAAAAAGTTTAAAAATTTAAAAAAATTAAAAAATTAAAAAAAAAAAGAATGGGAATATAGACCTTCATTGACAAAAAGATACTCACTTTATATTACTGAGTAGGTAGGGTTCAAAGACATTATTATAGGCAGGGCATGGTGACTCACACCTGTAATCCTAACATTTTGGGAGGCCGAGGTGGGCGGATCACTTGAGGTCAGGAGTTTGAGACCAGCCTGGCCAACATGGAGAAACCCCATCTCTACTAAAACTACAAAAATTAGCCGGGTATAGTGGCAGGTACCTATAATCCCAGCTACTTGGGAGGCTGAGGCAGAAGAATCACTTGAACCCGGGAGGCAGAGGTTGTAGTGAGCCAAGATCAAGCCACTGCACTCCATCCTGGGCGATAGAGCAAGACTGAGTCTCAAAAACAAAACGAGAAAACATTATTGGCCGGGCACAGTGGCTCACGCCTATAATCCCAGCACTTTAGAAGGCCAAGGCTAGTGGATATCCTGAGGTCAGGATTTCGAGACCAGCCTGGCCAACATGGTGAAACCCCATCTCTACTAAAAATACAAAAATTAGCCAGGCATGGTGGCACATGCCTGTAATCCCAGCTACGCAGGAGGCTGAGGCAAGAGAACCTTTTGAACCCGGGAGGCGGAGGTTGCTGAGATTGGGCCACTGCACTCCAGCCTGGGCAACAAGAGCAACACTCTCTCTCTTAAAAAAAAAAAAAATTATTATAGTATTTGTTTATAGTTTACACAGAAATGTGTAAAACATTTCTGGAATACATAAATACATATATGTTTGTTAACATTTTCTATATGTGTACACAGAAATGTCTAGAAGTATCTTCTCCAAAATATTAATAATAATTTTCTCTGAGTTTGGGATGTGGAGTTATTTTTGCTTGCCTTTACTCTTTTGTTGTTTTTGTTTGTATTATTATGGGTGAGGATGTTTGGGGGGGGATACTGCAAGAAGTTTATAATCTAAAGAAAGGACAAATCAATTATGATTTAAAATTTTTTTGACCAGGCACAGTGGCTCACACCTGTAATTCCAGCACTTTTGGTAGGCTGAGATAGGAAGATTATTTGAAGTCAGGAGTTCAAGATCAGCCTGGAAAACATAGTGAGACCTGTTTCTATTTTAAAAAATAAGAATTTTAAAAAGAAATAAATTCATATTGCCAGCATTGTACTCTGGGAAGCCTATATTTGTGATCTAAAGAAAAGACAAATCAGTTGGAAAGAATATCACCTTTGAAGTCAGATAGACCCAGATCCATTCACTAGCTATATACAGCTGGGGACTCAGACTGCCTTAGCTTCACTTCCCTAGTCTGTAGAATGAGGATGACAATAAGTACCTTACAGAAGGTCAGAACATGTGCAAAGGGCTTAGCACAGTGCCATTATGACATTAGTGGCCCAATAAGTGTAATTCCACCTCCACATTTGATATACTACTTAATTCTCTTCTGACCTCAATTTCATTCCTGGTGGTATAAAGGGACCTACTAATCCCAGTGCTGGAAAATCCTAGGAACTGCAGAGGACTCTCCAAAACAGGTCAGCTCCTGGTGCCTTGATTATAGCAGCTGTGGGCCAACAAAGCTGATAAGGGAATCTGATTTTTCCATTGTCTTCCATTGTAAAGTTGAAAGTATAATTTTCCCTACTAGAGCATATGTTAGCCCAGGACATAATGAAATCATTATTAAAAACCTAAAACTTGGGGTTAGACTTGTAGTTTTTCTAAACTTTAGTGTGTATAAGATCATCTAGAGCAATGGTTTTCAGTTCTTTTCAGACCCGACTTTTTATAAGATTCATGTTACTATCTTGAAATTCATAGATAATACATACATTTAAAAATCTGCATAATTTCTTGACTTTGATATTTTTGACATTTGATTCTCGACATTTCATTATAATTAAATAATACATACAATTAATTGGCCCTCCGTATCAATGTGTTCCACATCCTCAAATTCAACTAACCACAAGTCAAAAATATTTGAGGAAAAGAAGTGGATGTTTGCATCTATACTGAACATATACAGACTATTTTTCATTCCCTAAACAATACAGTATAACAACTATTTATATAACATTTACATTATATCAGGTACTGTAAGTAATATAGAGATGATTTAATGTATACAAGAGTATGTGAGTAGGTTATATGCAAATGCTATACCATTTTATATAAGTAACTTGAACATCCATGGATTTTGGTATCTGAAGGGTCCTGGAACAAATCCCCTATTGATACTGAGGGACATAATGTAGTACTCAGATGCTTGCGTATATAGGTAGGCTCACCATGAATATGGCAGTTAGAAGTGTGTGGTGGCTGGGCACAGTGGCTCACACCTGTAATTCCAGCACTTTGGGAGGCCTAGGTGGACAGTTTCACTTGAGGACAGGAGTTCGAGACCAACCTGGCGAAACCCTGTCTCTACTAAAAATACAAAAGTTGCCCGGGCTTGGTGGCGCACACCTGTTATTCCAGCTACTCCGGAGGCTGAGGCACCAGGATGGTTTAAACTCAGGAGGTAGAGGTTGCAGTGAGCCGAGATCATGCCACTGCACTCCAGCCTGGGTAACAGAGTAAGACTCTATCTCAAAAAAATTAAAAATTAAAGAAGTGTGTTGTATTGGCAATCAAATATCAGGAGCCACCTAACCCTTGATGTGGTTTTCCAAAATGGTGAACAGCTTTTGGTAAAGTTCTTGACCAAAAAGGCTAATTTTCCTTTAGTTTACACAGTGGTTGAATTCCTGTAAAATTTAGTGTATATTAAGATCCTGAAGAAAACATTCTAAATACACAATTTACACAATTTGGAATTAAGCAGAGACCTGTTTAATGTGGATTCCTGACCCCCTGACCCCCATCCTCAGAGGTTTTGATTCATGGAATCTAGGATAGGGTGCAGAATCCTTGGTCATGATTTTGATTCAGGCCTTCTGTTTTCTAAAGGAACTGGGGGAGGGAGGGTTTGTGCTAAAAAGAGAACTTGAAGATGGTAAACTAGAAATCAAAAACTGAGGTTGGTAATTTGATACAGAATCTAGGATACAAATGTCTGTTTCAGAAACAGTGCTACATGTAATTGCCTGACTAGGTACAAATTTTCTGGGTCAATTTTCCTCCTCGATAAAAATGGGTATTGTTACCTTCAGTATGGACGGGTGGTACTGTGGTTTCTGAGACCCTTTGAAGCTTCCTTGCTTGGTTTACAACGATTATTAAAATTTCTGATATAAGGCAGTTGGTAAAAATACACATTCACCATGCAAACTATCATGAAGACGCTATTATTCAGATTTTAGAAAAAGCTGATCACGGTACAATCCCTTTTCTCAAAGCCCACCGTTTGAAACCAGAGAACACGGCAGAAAGAAATTTGGCCCGCTAACCTCTCCCCTCACCAAACACTAAACAGGCACCAGCTCAGAATCCGAAAACTTGACAGTCTGGCTCCAGTCTGCCCAAGGCCAGTAGTGTGGATTTGAACAACTCATTTTACTTTCACTGGGCTCAGTTTACTTACATTTTCAGTTCCATCTATTACTCATCTAACTGCTCCATTCCTTTCCCGCACCTGACACCATCCTTTCTACCCCTCTAATGACTTTGTCTCTGCGTCCCTGCCGCTTCCTGCATAACACGTTTCTCACTTGAATTTCAGATTTCGGTTACTCTCACCCTGCCATCCCCTTGGGTTCTCCTCTTTGTTTGGGCATCTCCAGCAATCCTCCCGCAACGTCCTGGCTCCTCTCCAAGATCCAGAATGGAAGGCTCCCATCCCCAGCCCCGCCGTGCACTCCCGCAACTCAGGCGGTGGCTCACACAGCGCGCCCCGGAACCCTACACCTCCTCGAGTCCCGGTGGCTCCCCTTCACCTACCCGCCCCTCTCTTAGCATCTCGTCCCCCACCCCCATCTCCGCCCTCAGCTCGGAGACTCCGGAGCCACGGGTCATTGTGCCCTGCCCCTCTCCGGAGGCTCTTCTTCATCCTTGGCCTGAGATGCCCACCTCGGGTGGGGTCCGTCGCCACGGAGTCCAGGGTCGCGCGCCACCCACGTGTCCAAGAGCGCCGCACTCGCCCAGTGCAACCCCCGCAAGGCTGGAGGCTTCTCGCCGCGGAATCTCTCCGCTTGCAGATGAAACCCGCACTGGCTGGTGAGCTGCAGGCGGATCGCCAGCGACACGTGCGGGGTGCCGGCGCCTCGCCGCAGGGTGCGGGTGCCCGCGGAGCCAGCCAGCCAGAGAGCCAGCGGGAGAGGAGAAAGGGTGGGCTCGCGGGTGGGCCCGGGAGGCGGAGACCTCTGGGAAGCGGGGGCCAAGCAGCGGTGCAGGCGGGGGGACTGCAGTGCCACCTCTCCCGAGAAAGCCCACATTCTCGCACGCCCGCGCGCGCGCGCACGTGCACACTTTGGGCAGGGAGAACACGAGCGAGAGTCTTTGAGCGCTGGGCGCGTTTTAGCAATGGCTTCTGCTCTCAACAGCAAAATAAACCCGCCCGGGACTTGCCTGGAATCCAAAGCCGACGCCCGCGGTGGCGCTGGCTGGAGAATGGACTGTGATCCCGAGATGCACGTGAAAATGTGCAAGAAGATCGCCCAGCTCACCAAGGTAAGGTGGGGCGCAGCTGGCCAGCTTGCTGAGCTCCCGGGGCACCGGAGCCGGGAGGGAGTGTGGATGCACGTCCCCGGAGGCCCGGGCCGAATCCAGGCAGAAACTTTGTCCCAGAGGCCAACCGGGAAAGGAAGCGGTCCTAAATCTGGGTGACTTGACCTTCTAAAGTCACCATCCTAAAGCAGCAGAGAAAGAGGATCCTTGCCAAGGAAATTCCCACAACCTGCTTGCTGAGCAGGTGGTCTGTGCTTTTCCAAGGTGGGAATGTGAATCGAGTGAGCGCGCGCGTGTGTGTCCGTCCGCCAGCTTTGCTCAAGTGGCCGTGCCTACAATGTTGGGATTTCATTCAACTGTCATACTTTACAGCTGGGGAGGTCATGTAGGCTCTGTTTAAACACTTGATCCTTTTATTCCTTCATTCAACAAATATTTGTGTCATTTGTTGAGCTTGCGTGGGAACGCACTAAACCTGGAATGCAGCCCGGGGGACTTACTATCAAACTGGGTGCAGACGTGTGTAGGAGCGTAAATGGGGAAGAGCACGATTCACCAAATAATTATGAGATTAGGAAGGACCTTGGGAGGTCAGCCAGCCCACCTCCCTACCTCGTGCAGGGCCCCGATTGAACCTCTCCACACTATGTCTTTTTCAGGAAGATGAGCAAGAAAATGTCACCAGTGCTCTTTGTTAACCCACTGCAGCTCCCCATTTAGGACCTCCTTGTCCCTGACTCCCCTCTGTGCCTTGTCTAGATGGACAACAACATCGCTCACTGCCTCCTATGCAAGGTTTCAAGTGGATGAATTTAGTTGTTTGTCTTGGGGTTTCCTTTTGGCCTCATAATAAACTCCTGGTGCCATGCCTGCCAGGGAAAAGTCAGGTCCAGGTCTGTCCTGTAGTGTCTGGAGCATGCTCTCTTTCCTCACTATCTCCCTCTCACTTCCCACACCCACTTTTTTGTGGGATCACAGACATTCCCCTCCCCCTGCCCCAACAACTGCACTGTTTTGCCAGGAGGAATAAAGCACAGAGGTTTGGAATTGAACCCTAGCCGCCTTCTCCCACCTGTCTCATTAACTTCACATTCTTTGCACATGAACCTGTCTCCAAACAGGGCTCTCTTTGGTCAAAGGATGAAAAAAGGGAATGGAGATAACCCTTATAGTCCTTGACTTGTATGGCTGGTACTATTGATCTAACCTACATTCATCTAAAGTGACATCAACCAAAATATGTATTTATTCAAGTACCTGAAAAGGCACTTGGCACAGTGCAAGGCACCTTCTCTATCTTCAAAGAATCTAAAATATTTTTAGAAAAACAAGATTTGAAATATTGAAAGCTAGGAGACTATGTCTTGGTTGCTAAATTGGGTGTTTCTAATTAGGAGTGTTTTAATTACGAGTGTTTAAGTAGAAACAAAGGACAAATCAGTATGGGAGGAACAGTGAGGGCAGATTTTATGGAATAGATGATCCCTGAATTTACTGTGGACTTGTGGAATTCCTACTATGTGCCAGCACTACGCTGAATGTTAATGGCATAATAATTAGTAAGATATGGTCTTGCCTTTGTGGTATGACAAACACATAAACGGATCACTTCGATATAATATAGAAATCATTCCACTCAATATTATGACATACCTATTATGTGCTAAGCCCGAAAATATAGCAGTATAGAAGGCATACATGATTCTTGGCACACAGTAGGCAGTGTTTTTTAAAGTATATTATGTATTAGAAATCATGATTGATGCTTATGTAGTGCCTTTGTTTACCATTTTTATGCTAATTGTTTAAATTAGAAATTTTTGTTATTAGTAGGCCACCCTTCTTTTGGCTACTATGTGTATGTGAAATATTTTTCATATTGTCATATTTAATCTTTCTATGAGTTTTATTTTGGTTGTGTTTCTGACAGGTGAATGTAATCCACAGACATTTATTGCGATTACTGATTTAACTGGGGTTTTCTTCCACTGGATCTTGTGTTTTTCATTTAACATTCTTTCTCCTTGCTTTTTTCTTCCATTCTTGCCTTCTGTCAGATTAGTAAAGTAAGCCATATTCCACTACTGGTTTGAGAGCTTTAGGTTTTATTTCTATTATTCTCAGAATCATCTTTTATTTTTCAACATATATTCTTACTCTGATTTTTTTCCAACAAGATTAGTAACTGTTTCTTCCCATGAAAACACTTTGTATATTTTACTCATTTAACAGCCCCTTCCTTTCCATCCTATTATTGCTGCCTAGAGTTTTATTTTTACTTCCGTTTGTTTGTTTAAGAGACAGGATCTTGCTCTGTTACCCAGGCTGGAGTGCAGTGGCACAGACATGGCTGACTGCAGCCTCAAACTCCTGGCCTCAAGTGAGCCTCCCACCTCAGCCCCCCAAGTAGCTAGGAATAGGTGTACGCCACCACTCCTGGCTAATTTTTTGTTTTTCAAAAACTTTTTGTAGAAATAGAGTCTCACTATGTTGCCCAGGCTGGTCTCCAACTCCTGGCCTCAAGCAATCCTCCTGCCTCAGCCTCCCAAAGCTCAGGCATGTGCTACCACATTCAATCGATTTCTTCCTAAATTTAAAAATAGTTTTTGTAGTTAAAAAGTTTACTGACATTTTATCAATTTTTCTGCTCATTTTTTTTTCTTGGATCTACAGTGATCCATTGGGTTCACTTTTTTTCTGGCTGAAGTCCATCCTTTAATAGTTCTTTCGTAGGTGTGTTGGTATGGGAGGGAATTCATTGTGTATTGGAAAATGTCTTAATTTTGCCCTCACTGTTGTATGATAATTTATTTGGATATAAGATTCTAGTGAATAGTTATTTTCCCATACCACACTGATAATAGTACTCCACTGTCTTCTGGTACTAATTGTTGCTGGTTAAAAAATCTAGCTTCAATGTAATTTTCATTCCTTTGTAAATAAGCTGTCTTTTGTCCTTGATAACATTTCAGATTTGTTCAGTTTATTTTTGTGGTTCAACAGGTTTACTAGAACTGTCTTGGTGTTAGTTTATCTTTATCTTCTGCAAAAGTGGGAGGCAGTATCTGTTGAGGTTTATTATGTGCTGGTTTTTTTTGTTTTTTTTTTTTGAGACAGGGTCTCACTATGTCATCCAGGCTGGAGTGTTGCAGTGGTGTGATGATCATAGCTCACTGCAGCCTTGACTTCCCAGGCTCAAGCTGGACTACAAGCATGAGCCACCATGCCCAGCTAATTTAAAAAAAATTTTTTTTTGTACAGACAGGGTCTCACTATGTTGCCCAGGCTGATCTCAAACTCCTGAGCTCAAGCAATCCTCCTGCGTTGGCTTCCCAAAGTGCTGGGATTACAGGTGTGCATGTCCTTTCTTTAATTCTGGAAAATTATTACTGATTTTCTCTTGCAATATTACTTCCTAGCCATTACCTCCATTATGTTTTCTGGCACTACCATTAGGTAAGTGAGGAAGCCTCACTATCTGTATCCTGAGATGTTATTTTTTTAAAAAAGTTTTTGTCTTTGTGTTGCACCCTGGTGAATTCCTTGCCTTCCAATTTGCCAGTCTTCTAAATAATTTGTGTAGTCCAGAGTTTTACCCATCTATTAAGTTTTTGTTGTTGTTGTTTGCTATTTTTATTTATTTATTTTTTTTTTGAGACTGAGTCTTGCCTGGTTGCCAGCATACCCAGCTAATTTTTATATTTTTAGTAGACGGGTTTCACCATGTTGGCCAGAATGATCTCGATCTCTTGACCTCATAATCTGCCCGCCTCAGCCTCCCAAAGTACTGGGATTACAGGCATGAGCCACTGCCCCCAGCCCCATCTGTTAAATTTTCTGAATTTCAATAATTATATTTTTTATTTCTAAGATTGCTCTATTTTCTTTCTGCCTAATTTTCATTAATAGTTTTTTAAATTTTTACAGCTTTATTGAGGTGTAATTTATATATCATAAAATTCACCTGTTTTAAGTGTTCTGTTCAACATTGTTTCAGTCATTGAGCCATAACCATAATCCAGTTTTAGGGACATTTTCATCACCTGGAATTAATCTTCCCTTGTGCCCGTTTGTAATCAGTTCCTGTTCCCACTGCCAGCCCCAGCCAACTATTCATCTACTTCCCATCTCTTTAAATTATCTCTAAATGAGACCATATAATATATTATTCTTTCCATCTAATCCTTTTTTTTTTTTTTTTTTTT